AAATCAAGAAAACTATTTTTTCAATCGATTAAAACAGGGAATCAATTGAAAATACTTAAGAGGGTTCGGGGGTTCTTATTAATATTCTAGGAAGGTTTTTAAGGCACCTAGAATATCCGCTAATGCGGTTATCCGACAATTAATCATTTGGCTAAAATAATTTTAACTTGAACATACATGGCTAAGTTATGAAAATAAAGAGTTTGAAACTTGAAATCATTTTTTAAGGGAAAAGAAAGTATTATAAGAGCGTTTGCTTAAGTGAAATATAATAAATATTAAGGTCAATTAAAAAATGAGTTGGTTTTAATTTCAATTCAAAACGGCTTTCTTTTGGGGAGTTGAATTTTTAGAATCTTAAGATTAATTTTAACAAATAAAACATATAGTAGCAATTGAATAGATAAGGAAAGGAAGTTTGGGCCCAAGTTTAGTTTTTCTGTCCGCCTGGACCAATACTTGGGCCCTTTTTCGTTTTAAGCTTTTGGCTCATTTGAATCACATGTCCATGTCCTAAACTAACATAAAATAGCTAATAAGTGGGCTTAGGCCCAAAATACAATTTTTGAATAAAGAATGGGCCTTTGGCCCAAATTTTCAATTTCTCGATCTCTTGCTTCTTTCAACTTCGGGACCTGTTCGTCAATTCTTTAGCTCGAAAAGGGGTTGACTCGATGGAAAATCAACTCGGATATGTAGGGGTGGAGTCCAAAATAGACTCGGGAGAAGCCGGTTCATACATAGAAAAGAATAAAACAAGATGGAAATTAGAAAGGAAGCATACTCAAACTTATATGATAAAGTCAAAACACGTAAAAAGAAGAAGCAGTATATATATGTGAATAGTTCACACTCCCAATATTATACAAAATGAGCTAAAGAATGCATGTGACACTTAAGGAGAACCTTTACTTGGAATTGAACCAACCTCACGTGAAAAGATCAAACACAAAAGATGATAATAAATAAACAATTAAACTAAAAGTGGTCAAATGGAGTGACTTGTGATATAATCACCTAGGCAAAGATAATGACAAGGAGGCAATTAGCAATTAAAATGGGGGAGACTATTGAAGTTGATATTATTAAGTCTAAAATGCAATATGGAATGTCATATACGGATGCCGAAAGAACTAAATTCAAGGAGCAAAGAGTAAGACTAATACTAATTTACAGTAAAGTAGACCACCACCTTCAAAAATAAGTTTCCCTCCTAACATATAGCAGTCCACAAAATGACAAAATACAAAATCATCGTTTCATACCACTAAGAAAAGGCAGCAACATGCATATGTATTAAGGGGATAGACTTAAGTATTTTGGATATGAACAAATTAGTGTACGAGGTTAACAAAATAAACTAATGTTTGCAGAAATTTTAGACATGAATAAGAGATGGATTCTTGGCATTTTTCAGAATTTCAAGTGAAGAAAGAGGATAGGCATAAATAATAGAACAATACAGTAGGTTTCAATACGAGTTTTACATCGAGACATATGTTTAAATCTGAACGAGGATGAATTAAAACTCAAACCTTAAGGTCATAATCTCTCTGAGATAAAAATTCGGTCAACACAAGCTATCCAAAGAAATGAAAAGAAAAATAACTCGTGCTTAGTAAATACATACGGGAACAGGACACCACTATAACATGGAAAAACTTCAACTCAGATAAATATGAAACTTGACCAATCGGTCACCTATGAGCTATATTCACCAAACTCTCACACGCATATAAGGCAGCATCCAGATCAAATTCCAAAGAGACACATGAGAGTACGAATTTCAAATCGGCAAAGCATATACGCCAATGAATATGATCAGAACACGCAACTAAAGGACTTAAAACGAACAATAACTCGAATCTTGGCATATTAATTCATTCATTCGACTCGAGAAGGAAGAATGAGGAATGACACGTCAAAAATTAAAGCTTATCACAGATTTATGACCATATCCAACAGTAGATTCAAAAAGAAAAGGCCATGAAACAAATTCGAATAGAGTGGCGGAGAAACGCCAACTTTAGCTACAGAACGACAAAAGACTTAAGTTGACACTAACTAACTCATGGAATCATCTAAACATATGTGTCACATAAGCACTACAAACTCAAAGATGCACAGTAACAAACCAGCCCCAGAATAGAGGTTCTTCAACATCACACATCAAAGTGGAAAGGAGAAAGAGAGTGTTATCGGGGAGAAGCATTACCTTGTTTCGAGCAGGAACCAGGACAGGCGAGCTGAGTAGAAACGATCTTTTTCCACCAAGATGCAATTCCTCCGAACATATGTATTTGTATGTATTTTTTCTTAAATGGACTCAAATTTCTCTAACTATTTTTCTGACACCAATTTTTCCCAACTCAAAAAAACCACCCCCCTCAACAGTGAATAAGGGTCACCTTTATAGAATGACCCCTAGGGTAAAAATTGGGGGGAAACGGATGAAAAATCGTGTAGGAGTAGGGTACATTTGAAATTCAAAATCATAAATTTTTTGCACCATATGGGATAAACATCCTTTTATTGAGATTTCAACCCATTCCGAAAGAGGAAAGGGGAGAAACGCGTGTTGTACGGATTGAGAGGGATGTGAATAAGGAGACAAAAAAAATCGCAGTGTACGTTGGACTGCTGTACTGTTTTCTCGCTGCTGCTTGTTTGCGTCTGGGCCTGCTGAACGCTGCTGGAGAAGAAGAACAGTGCAGGGGTTGATTTGGTATTATGTTATATGTTGTCGGTTGTGGGAATTAAGTTAAGTGTTGGGTTGTTGTAATTAGAAAATGGAAATAGAATGGGTAATTAGTGGGCTGGGCCAGAGGAGGTGTTAAAGTTGGAGTGGGTCAGTTGGTGTATGTTGTTGTTATTATTTTAGTATTGTGTATGTATGTATTGGGCTGACAGTTAGGCACGTGAAATGAGTTTTGGTGGGCTGTGTCGGTTGAGTTAATTAGTTGGGAATTAATGGGAATTAAAATGGAATGGGAATTGGGAAAAGATGAGATGGGCTGCTGGCCCCAAATTTAGTTTATCACAAATGGGTTCAAGGGATTTGGCTAATAACTGAATGAGATGAATTAGTATAAATTAGTTAACGAGCTTCTTAATTTTAACGAAACAAAATAATTAATTTGATTATAAACCAATTAACTTAAAACTATAGCCATAATTTAATAGCGCAAATTAATAAAATGTGCTTTCCAAATCAATAAAATTAAATAAGATAAAATAACATAAAAATAAGAATAATCAAACTAAAAATAACTAAATAACCTATAAGCTTACTTTAAACCAAACTAATCTAATTGAATATTTAATTAAAACAAACTCCTTTTGAGATGATTTTTGAAAATTCATAAAATATGGTAATTATATACATATTTGTGCAGAAACATATATTACTTAAAAATCATGAAAGCATCTAAAATTACTTTAAAATAACTTGCAAAGTATTTCGAATTTTTTTTTTTATAAAATTAATTATTTTAAATCGTTTAAAATTGGAGAGGCTCGAAATAATTAATTTCTATCGTGGAGGGTCAAAATTAGGTGTCAACAGGGGTCAAAGGTAAGAATTAATAAAGCACACACGCATAGACCGACCAAGTTGTCTAGTGAAATTTCCTATTTGGTCGACCAACCACTTAGGAGATAGCTAACTTACCGACTTTGAATGTTAAACACTAGACAATGTTACTATTATAGGGTTTACTGTCTTAAGGACTTGTGGTAACACGTATACCCTAGTTTTATCTTCTTTTTACCGAAATCAATCTATTAGGCTTTTATTTTACAAAACTCCCCGCTTTTATGGAAATAACTAAACTAAAAGTATAATTAACAACAAATTAGCCTAAGTCTAGACCTGATTCCTCGTGGGATCGACCCTAACAAATTAACGTTAATTATGCTAGTATGTGTGTATATATATATATATGGGGTTATTTTTGAAATTGTCGTAAGGCTGACCAATCTGAGGATGTTGGGGTTGGGACTGATGCGGCAGAGTCATTTTTCTCGGATAAGTTGAGGTACTTTTGCCAATTATCCAACCCCGACCCTGAATCCACCACCCTTCCTCCAGCGGAATTATAAACCATGTGCAAGCTGCTGCAACCGCCTACCAAAGCGACGAGCGAAAGAAGAAGGCAGATAGGCATTTCCAAATCAAAGAGCCTAAAAAGAGCACATAAGGCATGAAGTAAAAAAGAACCTTTGACCCTGTGTGCGCGCGCGTGGGTGGGTGTGTGTCTGCGCGCACGAGTGCGTGGGTGGGCGTGTGCGTGCGTGTGAAATGAAGTTTTCTTCATCTATAAATAAAAGACTCTTTTACCTCCAACCATAAATTTGAATGATAAACTACAAGAAAAATAGGGTACGAGGTAGAGCATTTATGAAATGGTAGGATAAAAGATGATATATGATTATTAAATAATAAATAGAGACAAAATGAGAAGAAAATATGAAGGTAACAACACGATCACACCAAATTGATCTATATGAAATGGGTCTTTTCATAGTTAGCTAACAATGGATTTAAATGATACGATACGATAGAATTTAAGTAACAATCTAAACAAACATTGTATTTAAACAAACAATGCAATGCAATACAATACCACCAGTAACAACCACCCAAACAAGGTGTTATAGTTGATTTGGAATAATTTTGAAGTAAAAATATGTGGCGAAAAAGTTAGGATGATCGTCATAATTATATTTTAGCTAAATTTAATGAATCATCAAGATTAACTTCTTGTTAAGTAAGTTGTGTCCAATATCAAAAACTTGAAGTGAAATGCATATAGTACATACATGTATACGTAAAAACCTACTTAAATTTTCAACAAATGTTAGATCTAAATCCATAATTTTACTAGTGTGAGTTTGTTGCTAGGTTGAACTCATTAAGTTCAAATCCTGGATCTGTCCCTCTAAGTGAGCAATAGTCTTCCGAACCAAAACCTGTAAAAGTAAATATTTAGATGCAAATCTTCGAAAAACATTCTCACGAGAAATCACAACATGATATTGGACATGCCATTGCTCGACGTATGTTATTTACATATCAATTTCTCATCTCCATGGCGTTCAAAAGTTGCTCGGAAACATAAGCCACAATAGACTCTCGGAAACCCTTTGTACAACTAGTATAATGTCCTATATTCATATTGAGAGCTTTATTGACATAAACAAGAGCTAAATTTTAGCTTACATAGTATAATTTCTGAAGGCAAAACTGGTGTACTAAGGGATCTTCTATTGCATCATTAGGCAGGCTCATGAAGACGGGTAGCCCAGTGTGAGCTTAAAACACGAAGCCGTTCAAAGTACTCCCCCAAGGCAAGTAAGCCCTGAGCTGCTTGGTGCGTACTCAGGATGCGGGACATCTGTTGAAGTGTTTCTTGGCGGAGATGATCTGCCTGTTTCCAGAAAGGGAACAGAGACAAGTCAGGACAACGACTCGAATATCCACATCACAGATGTCCAAAATATAAACTGAATATACCACACATAAACGAGTTGACTGATTCCCCACTTCGCCTTAGCTACAACTCTCCGCTCGTGAAAAACTTACCTTGCTTACACCAAATGAACGAATTTAAGCTTAGCAGAAATAATGCTATCTAATCATTCCCTCGGGAATCTTAGTAGCTTTGTTGGTTGGTTACTTGAACTTTTAACTTGTTGGTGAGGGTTCGGTTCTCTACGTGGTAATTACCTCCCCCATTTTCCCTTTCCATAAAAAATCAAAAAAATCTAATCATTCCCTCATTTCAGTACAAATTGCCTCTCAGAGTTGAGTATGTATACTCACTATCTTTTACGGATGCATACAACATGAAGTTTATAGAAATCACTTTGAAAGCTAGAACATCTATTGAAAGGAAAGAAAATCCAATATGCGATACTACCTGATTTACGAACCTAACAAGAGCTTCCAACTTCTCAATGGCAGGCCCCATCTGCGGAAGAGAGTAATTCCCTTCACCTAATCGGCCAACTGCAACAGCCTCACCAAGAATCTGATGAAGTTTTACCATTCCTTGTGACAAGGCATCTTCTGCTTGCTGACACGATTGCCTGAGGTTACAAACCTCCCGGAGTTGTTGTTCTGTCAAGAGCTCAAGATGTGGTGTCAGAACCTGTAAAATAAACTTGTATTAGCACCTTTCCTAATCGAAAACATTGAAGAACAAGACGATTAATTAGTCACGAGTTTAAGGAGAGAAAGTTCATATGTTTGGCGTCAATGATACAAACGTTTTCTCAACATATCCTAGCAATGGATACTAAAGTTCTAACATACATATTATCAAATATTAGATCCATGTATGCTAAATAGTTGTCCATACAACCGCTTAAACTAAAAGTAGCCGGCAAATGTATAATATATGTATAATATCTGTATAATTAGTGTATAATCCATGTATACTTGTTAGGAAAAGTAAGAGATGAATCCGACCAATTATTCGTGTAAAGATCTGTAAATATTGTGTAAATTCCTTTTTTCTTTTGAATAATGTACTGAAGCGTTCATTACCTTTAGAAGTTCGGATGGCCGAAACCCCCCAATCCACATAAAAAAGCGTTCTGCTGATGTCTTCCACATGCCAGACATGATATATAGGACATCAGCTTTAGCAGCCGTAGCCTTAACGCGGAAGAGCTCAAAGTAGTGGTTCAGGCAACCATCAACGATAATGCGTAATTCCGCTTCACTAATTTGAGAATGATGCAGAGCATTCCTTAAATCATTTGTTTGTCTATTTTGCTCTTCCACCCACTGACCATACTCCATATCAAATACAGCAGTTCCTGTGGATTCAAGAAGTTAGAGAAAGCTCAAAGAGAAAAAATTGCTCTAGCTTTGGTCTTATCTAACACACATTTTACTAATGATTTTCAGTGTGATCAGAACTGCTATATTGCTCAGATTCTTTAAAAATGTCACCAGGTGTGTGTCGGATCCTCCAAGAGAGCACATATTTGGAGGAGCTGACACAGGTGCGGTACCATTTCAGGAGAGTCCAAGCAACATGAAGTACTTGATAAGTAGAATAAATAGGATGAATAAAAAGGGTAGCTCAATGCACTAAGCTCTGAATACGCGAGGAGTTCGGGGAAGAGCCGGACCTCAAGGGTCTATGGTACACAGTCTTGCCCCGCTTTTCTGCAAGAGGTTGTTTCAACCGCTCAACCCCGTGACCTTTCGGTCACATGGCAGCAACTTTACCAGTTACACATGATTAATGAAGATAATAGATAAGGATAAAAAGAAACTGATATCTTACTGAAATACATGTAAAATAATCCGGTAAGAACCAAATTCATTTCTATAGGTTCTCTAGTCCGTAAGTCTTATTTACAGATAAAGCAGAACAATGTTATCATTTTTATGTTTAATCTGACAAGTGCATCCGCATAATTCAATCGCTCCGACAGATTCGAGCATGAAATTTGATCAAGTACATGACAAGTTGACAACACGGTGTGAACCAACAAACCTGAGCTAGCACTTCCAGAGTAACTTAGCTGGCTAGCATCTAAACCAGCACCTACATACAGACCCTGTAGCAAAATGTTCGTTAATTTGTTAGATTCTTTTTCATCCTAAAATGTAAAACGATGTGACATTAATCACCGAAAAAGGATCAAAATCTCAGCTTCATAAATTAAAAAAAAATACAGAAATTGTCCCTTTACCTGTTTTCTGGCCCGATCTAGTTCTTGTTCCAATTGAATCAGCTTCAATTTACTATTTTCTAACTGCTGAACATAGGCCTAAGTAACAGAATGTAAACTCGGAAAATTAGTGACTTGATCAGAACACCAAATCGTCTGGTTCAATAAGGAAGAGTAAGTTTGGCTAGCAATGTTGCATAATAAAATTAGAAAAACTCAAGGAATACCTTCTTCCGCAAACGGCTTTTACGAGCAGCCTCACGGTTTTGAGCAAGACGTCTAAGTACCTGCATATCAGGCTTGGACATAAATTTTACTGCAACAGAAATTTTATACTTTTGACGTCTCATTTCCAACAAAAGAATAATAGAAAAAGGAACAAGAACCTTAAGAAAATAGACAGAAGGTATAAACAAAAGTTCTTGTGTGAAAGCAAGAAGCCGAAAAAATGTAAATTGGAATATTTCCCAACATGTCAATGAAAATAAAGAACCTCTGAAGCAAAAGTTGTGCAGTTGCATCTAATCTGTCTCCCCTACCTCTCATGTATATTTCTTCTACGATTATTTTACGTGTTTGTCTTTTGTAAAACTGAGACCTTTTACAACAGCTAGGATTAACTAATTGGTCTAGTCGAATGTCACCCCAGGATTTCCAGTCCGATACCTTTCCATTATGTTGCCCTCAAATGCACACTTTCTATATATTTGTCTCCGTCCAATCAAAGACATCCATGCCATAGAGAATCAGGCTCGGGAAACCAAGACTAGGGACCACTCTCCCTGCTTGCTTCCTGCCTCATTGCTCAATTATCTCCACTAACAATTCACATGGGAAGTACTCTGTAAATGTGGGCATCTAAATCCGGAATGTCGAAACCTCAAAGATCACAGCTTAAAACCTATATAACCATGCGAGGAACCGTTATTTATTTGAAAAACCAGAGACAATGGCTCCAAGAAAGTTTAGAATGTAGGTGGCCTAATTCTGTTTTTGCTAGAAAGGGAGCTAAACTACGAATTAATCAACACTGTACGCCTCATGTCAAAAGTCATCTAGATTCATGAGAACGGCCTAACAAACAAAACGTTCATTTAAGATCACTATTCTAGATAGGAGATTATAAGAACAAGAACATATCTTTACCTTCTCGATAGGCTTACTTGTTTCCGCTTCATATCTATTAGAAGTCCCTACTGTTCCATGCGAAGTATCTTCTGTCTAGACACGTTAACTATATTGATCAGTACAATCTGCTGCATAACTAAAACAGAGAATTTTATTTTTTTCTTTATCGATAAAGCTAAATAACGGGTGATTGAAAGAGATTGAGAAGAGAAAAGGCAAAAAAGAAACATACCTCAATGTCTAATCTTTTGTCTATAATAGGGATCTGGTCCTCTAGGCATTTCTCAACTTCTAGAATCATGGTTGCCGATGTACTCGGACAACTAGCATTGAAATCATCCCACATGCCCATTTGATGGATCGGCTCACATATGCCCATCCTTCTTGAGGCAACAAACTGAGTGTATGTTGAAGAATTCATTTGTACGGACTGATATTTAAAAGACACAAGTCAGCTATCACTGACATGAAAATCAACAAGCAGCAAATACTAATCGCATCGAATCATATAAAGCATGAGAAAAGATACATGAAATGAACTTTATCTAGCTTTCCATGCACTATTTATCACTGATGTAGATGGGTAGCTAACACTTTCCGCAAATTGACAATAGCAACTTTGTAATAGGGCTTGTGAGAAAGACACATCTCGTAACATATAGTCATTAAGCACTAGATTTGGAGGTAATGGATCGACAAACGAAACACTATAGTCCGATCTATGTACCACATTCAACTCATGATATTATCAAAATCCATGTTATTTACTCTCGACTATAGCTAATATGAAGAATGCGCCGTATAATCTATCACACGCCACTTCTTAGAACTTTCCCCTTAATGTCATATTTCAACAGGATTTGATCATCATAACATGTCCACACGGGAAATAGACTGTCCATAATACCAAGAAAATCGACTGATCCTTAATGAAAGCTGTCCTAATAATCTTAATCTACGACACATTGCTGCAACAGGACTACAAATAAGAAAGTTCTTGTACAAGTAAGAAGTGCAGGCATCGAATTCCAGTAGCTTTTCGATATCTAATTCAAGATTTCAAGGCATTACGAACAACTTCTATAGCCTTTTTCACCTCTCTGTATTATTAGCATATACCAACAGTCTTAAACTACATATCGATAAATGGGGCAAAAATAAATGTAGAAAACAAGGTTTGGAAACACCAATAAGCAAACCAAGAAGCTAAAAACTATTAAAAGATTTAATCTTTTTCATCTTAAAGGCTCAAAACATTATATCTATATACACCAATCATCAATTTACTACAACAACAACATACCCAGTGTAATCCTACTAAGTCGTGAGGTCTGGGGAAGGTAAGGTATACGCAAACTTTACTCCTAGCTTCACGAGGTAAGGTAGAGAAACTGTTTCCGAAACACCCTATGCTAAAGTCAATCAACAATTTACTAATTTCTAGCTAAAAACTCTTGCAATTAGCGCATGAATTAATTCAACAACATCAAAAAAAAAAAAAGATTCCAACTTTTTCAAAGAAACGGATAAAACTTCAAGAAACAATCAAATTAACTTCACTTTAAGCCCTTTTGACTTTAATTAAATGCTAAAATAAGTTCTTTTTTTTTTCTTTTCCAAAAATAAACCAAACAAAAACAGTAGAAAGAGAGAAAGATGAAACCTTTTAAGGCCAACAGCAAAATCTCAGCTCAACTGAAAAACCCAAATGAATTCAATTTTGTGAGAAGAAGATAAAGAAAATCTTATCAAGATTCAATTTTGAATCAAATTAATGGTAGAAAAATCCTAATATTTACACTTCTTGATATACCCAAACAAAAAAAAAATCATGTGTGTGCACCATCACAACTTATTATAATTTTGCACATATACATACACATTATATATATACACATTATGTCTATATAATTCTGTGTGTGGGGGGTGGGGTTAATGGGTAATGGGTATCCATATATATATATATATATATATATATATATACTCTATTAATTTAACTATATAGAAATATGTTAGTGGTATTAACTTATGTATTATTTGGGTACCTACAGTCTATCAAGATTAGAATTTTAGGATGCTAACTTGTCATATTCCCACTACTATAAACTATAATATACCCACTACTACAATTCATAATCAAAATGTCTCGTATTTGAACTTTAGAAATTAAAAAAATCATAATAAAATACGGTTTTTTTACTTGTTAAATGAATCTGAATAGGTTGGAAGATCTCTAATACGAGATATTAAACATCGAATGAGAAATAAAATTTTAAAAAATATCAAATATACCTATGAATTATTAAATATAATGTAATTGTCCCCATTTACTTTTTGACAAATGGCCTTATCACTAGCCAGGTAGAGCTTATATGTTTTTTTAACATTGAAAATAGATCAATTATCTCATTTGTTTTTTGTTTTTTTTTGCAAAAAAAAATTGCAATTATCGTAAGCTCTTATTTTTAGTGTATACATTTGTTAATTCATAATATTAAACACTCTATCTAGTCGTATAAATTTGTCAAAAATTAAAGTAATAATCATTTGCCAAGTGAGCCATGTACGCCCTTGTATACAAATAAAAATGAACTCCACATCATATATAAATTATCATCATTATCCTTATTTTTAATTACGTTTTAAATAATTTGATTGTGTAAATATTTTTATATCAAACTTAATTTTATTTTTATTTTTTTGCTTCCCCCCCCCCCCCCCCGCTTGAAATATGCTCTCCACGTCACTCTCACTCAATTTTGTCATTGCTCATTGGGTCCTTAATATGCGAACACAAATAGCCGCATGTACTTGGCCTTTTAGAGTTTGGACAATTATTTGAGGATAATGTTAATATATATATATATATATATATATATATATTTCGAATTACATTTATCTTCAAAATATGGAGAAACGAGACAAACTTAGCATACACATGATAATTAAATATGAAATAATTATAATCATGATAAATTTGTGAATGTTTACCGGCAAAGGAATGAAAAGTCACATTTAAGGATAAATATATTTAGCAAGAACTAAAATTAGAACTTATTACTAACTAATGGACCAAATATATCATTAACCTTTATATATGTTTATTTTGTTTTTATTTATTATAATAGTGAAGTTTAACAATCTTAAGCAGCTTTAAGGTAAAGATGACATTCAGGCTCATAAGAAGCTCTTGTCGCCAACTACATCGGAAAATGCAAGAAACTTTGAATTGGACTTATATTAATAAATTATTATTATTTGAGAGCGTGGATTGCACGAGGATAATAGGCGCGTGAAAATGGGAGGAAATATTTAAATTGTAGTTGTCAATTCGCGGGAAGATAAGTGACGGAAGCAAACTCTTTGTCGTTAACTACACCTACTCCTACGTGGAAAAAATATTTTTAAATAATAAAATTTGGATAATTAAATAAATAAATAAAATTTTGGACTTGAAATTAATATATGGTATTCCAATTAAGGACTCTATATTTGAGTAATTAAATATTGAGAGGTCATTTGATTGGTGAATAAGTTATACTGTGATTATATTATAAGATACTATAATATGAAATACGTGTTTGATTCTATGTGGCTTAATTGGTTGAATTTATAGGCTTCTAGATTATGAAGATATTATTCTCGTCTTTCAAGTGAATCTTCTTTATTTGTAAGAATGCAAGGAATTAAGTTAATCTGTATAAAAGTGAGGAATAAAATTACACTAGATAAGCATGGATAATAATATAAGCTTTGGAGGAGTCAAAATATACCATTTTATTGTTTTACCACGATATTGTTACATTAATTTGGAGTATGCATAAAAATAATATCATAATTATTATATAAATAATTTTAAAATTATTTATATTGAATTAAAATATTTATCAAATGTGAAATAAAATAATCGCATGTTTTATTATCCCTTATTCGTATAATTAATAACCAAATGACGAATAAATGAATAATTGCATCAATCATTATTTTAAAAAATAGTTTCTTCTTAGTGGGGTTACGACTTTGGAGAAGGAAAACTTGTTTACGCGACGGAATATTAAGAAAATTAATTAATGAAAAAGTTATCATATATTGACTTACTTTAGGACATTGAAGTCTTCGTCTAATAATTATGGTATAGTAAAATTAAATACTACATGAAAATGATTGAGAAATTTCAAATGACGTAATATTGAAATTTTAGAGTTGTTTAATGGGTGACTCTACTTATAATAATTAATAAACAAGGAAAAAGAAATGTAATTTCTCCCTCCTTTTCAATGATTTTACTTCCCTTTTTGTACGTTTAAAAATGTCATTTTTAATATCAAGAATATAAGATTTTAAGTGTACTTTTTAAAATTTATAGTATACATTCAATTATCAATATAGTAAGTAAGATTACAAGTGTAAAAATTCTTTTTATATTTTTTTAAACATACTGCTCAATTAGATAAGACACATAAAATAAATTGAAGAGAGTAATATATTCGAAAAAGAATAATGAGAACCTTACTTTGATTTATCGAGGTCTTCATCAACTTGCTTACAAGATGTTTCGAATTTTATATTAAAAATAAAGGAAAAGAAAATTAACCACACGAAGAAATGACATGTATTTTATGATATTGAGATCAAAGTTAATTATTAATATATGAACTTTCAAATTATTACTACAAACGTGATGTCGAGGTCTTCATGCACTTACAAAGTATTTTTGTTTTTCAGTGCACATCGTAAACAATTATTTTAATTAAAATAAAACATGTTTTGTGCAGTGTAATTTCCGATGCTCTAGAATATCATAGTGCACTCACAAAGTAAAGTACATAAAAATGATTATTTTTTTACGTATTAAAACTTTCAGATTAGTAATTAATTACTATGAGTCAAAGCAATTATTTCATTATGTGATTATATTTTAAATAGTAATTAATGGTGAAGTGCAAACCTCCATTAATTTAGGCATTTAGCTAGGTTAGGTTAGATATGTATGTCGTATTTAATTTGTACTATTACATGGAAGACTTCACAAATATATAATATAATGTTTTCTATGATATTATGTCAATGTTTATTAGGTTTTTTTTCCAATGAATATGTGATATTTTTTTTTGTACTATTTTAGGGCTGGGAAAAAAATTAATCATCAATTTTGGATTCTTAAAATTATAAAATATTCAACTAGTGCATGCCTAATAGTTTAAAAATTAAATGCGAAAATTGTAATATAAAAATAATTATAATTTATATTGCATATGTATTAATAATAAAGAAATTAATTATTAAGTGATAATTAATAATGAAGAAATCAATTGTTATGTGATGACTAATGATGAATAAACTCTTGTCATATAAGAGTAAGCTACTCCAGAACATTTTTGTCTTTTAAATAATTTATTTATCTTCACATTACTAAAAAACACGTATTCTTATATTACATATTTTTTTTAAATAAAATTATGTATAAATTTTATCATAACTA